AGCTTCGAGTCCGTCTCGTTGTAATTCTCTTCTAACAGGGTTTGGATGGTTTTAACCGCAAGATGTTGCGGTATTGAGGTGAACGGTGAGGTCACATCGAAAGATACCATCACTTTGTCAGGTGTTAGTTGAATACCCTGGAGCTTTTGTGTGAATTGTTCAGCTGAGCTGACGGTCGTTGCAGAGCCCTGGGTTAGAAAGTTGAGACGTTAGAACAACCACTTGGCTAGACCAAATGTTGGGGTGCCTCTGAGGGAAACGATCGGTCGTAAATCGATCGAGGGCAGATCGAGGGCAGAGGTCAAAGACAGAGGTCAATCCCGGCAGAACCGACTTAATTGCACTGTTAGCTGTACGTTTTTTTATTCCTTGATAATGAGCTTGCGGGAGAGTTCGAAACGTCGGACAAATACACTCCTGATACCAGAGAATGTCTTAACTTCTTCTATTCAGTTACCTGGGCCTCGCATATTCTCGACCATTCAGAATTAGTCAAAATGTGTTTACTACTACGAAATAAGTAGGTAGTTATGCAAAGTTAAGCGCGATAACAGGCCGCTAGTCGGGATTTTATTGCACACAGAACCAGACTTACCCGTAACCATTCAGAGGGCACCTGGGCATTATACATGGCCTCCATGGCCTCCCGCAACTGAGCATTCATGATAATTTTGCCATCAATGCCCATAACGAGGTCTTTCAAAACCTGCCCAGTGACTTCCAGCAGTTTGCTTATTCGCTGAACTTCTTGCCTTAGGAAGATGACGATGGGTTGAAGGCTTCCCATGGCATTACAGCGTTCCGCCACCTCGTACTTGTTGTAGACTGGTGGTAGTCGATCCAGCATTGTCTTGCACATTTGCTTCACTTGGCTCTCCTTCGTGGGCCCACCGCCACCGCCGCCAGTGTCGCTGCCCCCGAAGTCCGATTTTGTGATTGAATTAATATTTGTTAGGATGCTTTCGGAGAGCCGTGTTGAGTACCTGTCAGGAAGATTGTGGTACAGTCAGTCAGTCGTGTTTTTTAATGTTAGGAATGCCTTCATTTCACAGAAAAGCTCGCGTGTGAGCAGCCATGGGGCTTTACAGGACAGTAGGCTCGACAGCGCCCCGCCCGGACTGTGGCCAAAAAGCTCTCGTGAGACCTGATTGGTTCATTTGAGGGAGGGAGGGAGGGAGGGAGAGAGAAAAATGCTTTATTTTGAAGGTAAATGTCCAAACCTTTCACTAAAAAATGGCCCACTTCAAGAAGAGCAATGGCTGTGGTAAGGTAAGTCATAGAATATTCGAGGTACAAGGGTTTACATGATATCCACATCTGTTATGGGGACAGGTCGGATTTAAACTTCTCTATTTCCGTTTCTTCACACGTGAGGTAGCGTGCTAGGAATGGGGGTACAGAGTGCTGATATACCGATGTACGGCAAGATATGTGATGGAAACTTTGTCGCATAGTACGAGAAGTCTTCGCAGCCATTAGTTAAGAGTGGAGAGGATGAGCGACCTAACTAACAATGTGGTCAGCGAATTGCTTGGCCGTTTATAAGTGTCGTTGTATTATAATATCAGGTAAAAAATATAGGAAACACGGGCCGCTGAAGAGAGCATTTGGAGGATACGCTTAAAAATTACCAGGTGTTTTTAGTAAGGCTGGAAAATAACTCGAGAGCAGTAAAGAATGCAAGGGGAGAATCCAAGCATTTATAAATCATCAGATTAGGGGCTTCCAGTGGGCGAGCGGCGGATATAATCTAAAGGACTAGTAGTCTAGGCAGATATGGTTAATTAGAGCGTTAAAATTCTAATAAAAAGGTTGCGGATTCGAGATTCGGGTGGGCACCACCTGGGGTTGGGTACGTCTGGCTGATGATGGCTAATGAGCCAGAAATTGCCATTCCAGTCCTCCTTGTCTCTCAAAGCAATGCTAGCTAGTTCAACCGGCGTTGGCCGACTTCTTCCACCATATGCGTTTATAATGATAATAGACTTGCACCGAATCTACCGCACTCTCTCCTCCTCCTTTCGCACCTGAGTCCGGTGTCATGACCAACTCAAAAAGACTGGAAGCGAAAGGGGGTACAGGTGGCTGACGTAGCGTGACATTGCACCTGGACGTATCATCCCATCCCCATGTGTGACATTG